GTTCAATCGGTAAAATAACCACACCAGGAGCAAACAACACACGTCTGGAATAAGGTAAGCCATTTTTATTAAGAATTTTCACTTTTAACTACCTCCATGGATATCTTGTGGAAAATCCCATATAATCCCTTATAATTCGACGCCATATTGTGTTGCTTGTGTGGTTCGTAGAGAGAGCTTGGGCTGCCTGTGTTAAAACATAGACGTCTTTGTAAAGCTTACTTACTCCTCGTATTGGCTCATTGGATGTGGACCAGCAGAGTAGCAGTAAACTTATTTAAATTTTCAGTGGTTTGGGGCGCTACTACTCGCTATATGTACTGCACGAAAAAAAAATCCAACATAAGCCTTATTACATGCAGTGTTTTTACAATGTTTAATTTCTACTAAGCTTACAATTGTATTGTTGTGTGATCTCCCTTTAAAAAATGTTCGTGAGATAAAATCTNGCGAGCTATTCAAAATCAAAAGAATTTTTTTCATAAACCGTAACTGCCTACAACTTCCAGGTCTGATTGAATCACGTATTGATATAAAAAACACAAAGGTTCATTATCGTTTCCATTCATCATCAGTGACCTATTCAAAATCAAAAGAGTTTCTATTGAATGCTCGTACCCTCCTTGAAATTCCAGGTTATCATTAAATTATGTAGTGGTATTGAAAAGCACAAAGGCTTTTCCTTTCCATTCAATTTCAGTGACCTAATTCAAAATCAAAATAATTTCTTGTCAAAGCCCTAAGCCATCTTCAAATTTCAGGTCTGATTAAATCATGTAAGTTAAAGTATGAAGTTATCTTTTCCATTCAATTTCAACGACCCATTTCAAAATAACGGTACGGATTTGTATTCACCCGACATGTACTCCAATTTCAGGTTATATTTATTACCTCTTGAAAATCATTGTCTCGGTCCGCGTTCTCAAAAGAAGGGACAGCTGCCAAGAGTGGTTCATCAATCAAATTCATTGCTGGTTTTGAGGACACTGTCAAACTGAATTTTAGGTCGCTGCAGTTTTGATAATTGATAATTGATTTTGTGAATAATAAGTGCGTGTCTCCGCGTGCTCGAGCACAAAATTAAAAGAATTCGGGAAAGCACGTTGGACCATTGACTTTTATTAATGTGATGGCTCCTAAAAGAGCCATTTGGTTCTTACCTACATAACGTATGTAGGATTTTAAAAGGTCGCCATGCCTTGCTTTCCCTGCTTCAAGGAGACATCCCTTACCAAATTGGCAGGGCTGCAGCAGCTCTTTTTTTTGACTTTTTTTTGACTGCAGTTTACCTGCCACATAACTGCAGTTTGACTGTTTTTAAGTTACTGCAGTTTGCCTGTGACTCTTTGATTTTTTGACTTTTGTATGACTGCTCATGCAGTCATAATACAGTCATTCTGCAGTCAAATTTAATAGGCAGTCAAAATGCAGTCAATTCAGTTTTGGGATAGAAAGTTCAGGAATTCATGGTATTTCCTGTAACTTGGCTGCCTAGCGACTGCATTTTGACTGCAAC